GCTGATAATAGATGGACGAAACGAACAGTTAAATACTACATATAATGTGTCAGAGTAGCAGGTAGGTCATTTGCATTCTAGGTCAATCCAATAATTTAAATATCGTCATGCATATTATAAACTAAACCGATAAGCCGATTGTAGCATTCCAGGTTGACCTTGGAATCCTAAGCTGCGAAGGCATGATGGAATACAAAAAGAACAGTATGAGAAAAGATGGCAAGAGTGAGATAAGATGTTTCGGTCCATTAAATCATATACGTCTTAACTTAACACCGCAACTGAACCTTGTCACTACGGCGGTTGCAGTGCTTAATGAGGAAAAAAAGGAAAGAAAGGAAAAAAGCGGAAGAAACTATGTTCGTGGGATTAGCAGGAGTAAGAATGGGGTATAAGTTGTTTCAGGTTTTCCACATTTATCATCGGCGCTGCTTATGCAAGTAAATGCCAATGTGAACTCATAAAAATATAATAAATATAGTTGTCCGACTAAACAGTTGCATTACATGTACAAAATAACGAATTAAGGCGTCTTTATTAGACCCATGGATTCCACTACGCTGTTAAACTGAAAGTTTACGAAGAGAATTCGCCTACTTGTTGTAAATGCTCCGTTAGAATCGGCTGAATTGCATACGGTGAAATGGATGCGTGTGAGGTGGATGGTTGTTGCTGCTGGCTGTTGCTCGATTGCAAAACAGTGACATTCTTGATGGTGTTGCTTTCCGGAAAAACCTAAAATTACATTAAAAAAATCTGGAATTATATAAAAAATCTGGAATTGTATAAAAATCTGGAATTATATATTAAATTAAAAATCTGGAATTGTAAAAAAATTTGGAATTATATTAAAAAGAAATGGAAAAATCTGGAATCATATAAAAATCTGGAATTATAAAAATCTGATAATAGCGGACTGGCAGCTGAACGAGTACATGAATTTGCATATTTTCATAAAACAGTCATTGTAGGACAATCAGGAAGCGTATACAATTCTACATTTGATGCACTATACAATATGGAGCATCTGTCAGTCAGACGGCGATCTAAATATCTACACTTTTTTAAGTTTTTTTTTAAAAAGAGGCTTCTTCTCCAAAGTGCTTGATACAACTTTAATTCAATACAGTGGTTGCTCTGGTAAAAGATTCTTTGTCCAATGGTCGGCTTTTCGATAATTCTTGTGTGTTATTTCATACTCAACTTTTTTAAGTACTGTTACTAAATGCTTTTTTATCAAAGAGTCAGCTCTTCTTCACACAGTTTTACTACCAACATTGTTGTATTCTCAACAATCTCTATCACTGATGAATCCGTTTCACCACTAACACACTGATGACTTAAAACGGCAAAGACAGTGATATGGAACACGAATATCGGAGTTTTAGAAATTCTTAATCTTAAAAAACATTGTTGTAATGTTCTTTCATGAGATCATTTACTTTTGCTCATGCAGAAGAGTTTAGTTTTTCGCCAATCTACTTTGAGAATAAAAATTGTAAAAGTCAATCATTAAGTCTAATTAGTGGATTTAGCGTAAAATTACTGATGCAGACTTGAATAGCTGCTTAAAAACTGATATTAAAAAAAATCAATTTTCAGGAAAATTAATTAATACAGATTAATTTTATTCAAAAATAAAAAAACCTTGTATGAATCCGAGTTATCATTGATAGAAATTGGTGCGCTAGAACTGGAATCAAGCACAACCAGTGGTAAATTTGCATTCGTTGGCTGTGTTTTTGTGATTGTTTGAAGAAAATGCTCAACGAGTGGCGAAAATTGAAACATCGTTGCACTTAAACCTGAAAGTATTGTTCACTGTTTTCAAATGATCTTCGGAAGCTATTCAAAATGGTTGCCTATTTCACTGCGACTACCACTCGCTGTTACGCAGCATCCATTGGCTGTCAGCAAAAAAAAGCACCATTTTTTGTCCATGGGATTAATTTTTTTCGCGCAGTTGCAAGGGTATCCTTATCCTATCGCTACTTATCTGACGAAGAGTCTCACTGCTCACTGCTTATATCAGTTATGAAGAGATACATCAAGCATCCTTCACTTTTGATAAGGGGAAAAACTTAGAAAATCACAAAATGTGGTAAAAATAGACCGGTTTAATCGATCACAGTTTAGATTGATGAGGTACGAAGAAGAAACTTACCAAGGATTTCATCCCTTGCATGGTAAAAATTCATATGGAACTCGACAAATCCAAAAATTTCCTCATACAGCTTTTTCTATGAACATTTGTTGTTCATTGTGATATTTTTTCCTTCCCACCACCAGCAAAGCTGATGTTCCTTTTCGCCAACAATACGTTTCCAGCGGGCTCGATTCGGAGCTCATTGCATAAATTT